AGGGCTAAAGCTAATACTGTTAGAATATATACTATAGCTTACGCTTAGAGTATATTCATATATGAGGGAGTCATGTTTTTAATAAGAAAAAAGCGAGATTAATATGAAGAAAAAGGCAAATAAAGCATAACCTAATGTTCATCTGATGATGCACCTGATAAGTCTGATTTCGAAACATTAATTTTTTTCTTTCCCTTTCGTCCACGACAAAACAGGTTCACCAACAAGATGAGAAAGAGACTTGATTGTATTAGCTAATGATCTTATATTTCACGCTAACAAGGGGCGGCATAATTATTATCTAAAATGCCATAAAAAATATATGACTACAACATACACAAACGCAACATATTAATATAGTTGATGAACATTTTCTAATTCACGGCTAATTAGCACTTAAATTGACGAAAGTCTCCTATACTTTCGCCAACTGGCGAAACTTCATGAAGTGTGTTGGCGAAAGTACAGTGGACATTCGCCAATTGGCGATATTCCAGTGTGTCTATTGGCGAAAGTATAGTGGAGTTTCGCCATTGGCGAAATTGCTATTTGGCGAAAGTTTTATTGGAGAAGATCCGGAATCCCTAAAAGATTAACTTGACTCTTACTTGTGATTGTTGAAGTTAGAGTCATTGTTGACCCTAAAAGAAAGAGTCACATTATTAATAAAAGTTCATCTATAATATATAATTCTTGCATTTTCTACGCACCTGATGGACATATTTGAATATTAGCCAATGGCATCGGATAACAAGCAGATTGCTGGCATCGTGTACTATTAACACAAATTGTTTGTGCAATTGAACATGTAACATTATCTGAATTGCATGGAACCATTGAACCACAGAACAGATCAGCAACAGCACAAATACCCGAGCTGTCATTATTAATTGGATTGGTCAGCGAAAAACACTCGCAATCAAGATTCGACGAACAGGATAAAGATGACGATTTACAAACAGTCGGATTACATGTTGCCAAGTCGAGATTAGGTGGTGGTGTTAGTACCAATTGAGCTATGACACGGATAAGAAAGTAAAAATATTTTCGAAAAAATTAACATGATAGCATGCCTAAAATTTGAAGTTGACCCTGGCGTAGACTTTAAAAGAGAATCAAAAGATGTCTTGTATCTGAATTCTATCTCAACACCTTAGCCACTCACCTTGTCCACAGTAAGATATAGAAGATATATAGTACATGTAATCGTATTTCTTTCATTTATTTTCGTTTTCTAAAGGTATACCGATTTTAATTCACTTTCGTTTTTTCTTGCTTTCATTCAATGTTACATTAAATATATATATAAATTTTTAAACACTCAAACTACCAAAAAAATTTCGCCCATGTTGAGTAAGAAATGAAAAGAAAACAATTGGTTTATGTTCGCTGAAAAAACTTTCTACGAAGAATGAATTTCGCTGAATAAAATTATTAGAAAATGAATTTCGTCGTATTGATTATCATAGAGTACATCAATGATGAAAATGAATCTAAGTGAAATATGATCGGTCTCATATACAACAATTGTTTTCTAAGTAATGAATCCGTAACATCATGTTAGATGGCTAGCAATTCGGTTGGTTGCCAAGTTAGATGGTTACCAACACAGTTGTATAACACGTCACTTCTACGTAGCAAACATGCACTTTACATCTTCCATTACTTTTTACAAAAAATAAAATCAAACTTTGCCTTTGGCAAACACGCTTTTCGGCGAAAATGGAATATACCATGAAGAAGTGAATGAAAGGCCAACAATAACAAAAATAAGAAAAGAACAACAGAAAGGAAAAAAAACACAAAGTACCAACACACAATTTAACGGAAGCTTTCACACAAAAACAAATCCAAACCATTGAAGAAACAGACATTGATGCATTTCACCCATATTTCTGACTTGTTTCATTCGAAAAAAAATAACCTGCATGATCATTTTTATCCAGACCTAGCATTACGATGATCGTAAACACACCACCCAGGACACCAATTCCCAGACTCGGATCCAACGGGATCATATCAGATCCGATCGAAATTCGGCAGGGTGCGGGTGTGACTGGGATGTGGGTGTGGGTGTGGGTGAGTGGCGGGGTGTGGGTGTGGGTGTGAAAGTGTCTGAAGAAAAGAACAACACCGACATCCACACTTCCTCTCCCCCACACCCACACCCTCTTTCTAGTTTTAGAAATCCTCTCAATAAGTGAGTCACCAAAATCCAGTAATCAAAACCAACTATATCGAGTAATTCTCAATGATGACTGTGGTGTATGTCAGAAAGTACTGTTCGTTGTCGAAGGATTCTTTTATTATTTTTGCATCATAGCAACATTTTACGCACCACTTCTGTCTTTTTATTTGGCATTCTTTTGTTTTTTTTTTCAATTCTTGTCAATCACACACTCTATTGGAACAGACTGCACATAGCAACGGCCAAACATTCATGGTAAATAATACAGAAGGACTGGTTATAAACAAGAAATAATTCATATTTAAATCGATTAGGTATCTATGAGAAGATCTAATTGTAGAGTTCTATCAGAACATGATTCTTCCATAATTGTTATAACACATTATTTCTTTCTTGAACAAATGATACTGACATCATCCTAAACATCAGTCCACTTCGTTGTATATTTATGAAACATTGATCATTTTTGATTTAATTACTATTTTTCAGATTGAATACACACTATAAAAAACCCTCCACATTCATTTTATTTCTTCATTGAGGAACAGCGAGAACATAATAAGAAAAAAGATTTTTTGACAAAGGTATACATTTCGACATATCGTCAACTTTCCTTTTGATTGTGTCTCGAAAACATAAGAAGCCGACACAAATGATTTATAAACATGAGCTAAATTTTCCATTGTTTTTCTTGTAACTCTAACAAATATCCGTCGAGAACTACACAAGATAAACCAAAAGTTGGGTGCGGATTGGGGTACGAGTGAAATGAATACCCACACCTGATAATGGCGAAGACGTAAATCGATTTTTTTGAATGCAAAAACAGCGGAAAAAAGCAACATCACTGTAATGCATGCCTGATGTCTTTGCGTAAACACAAAAATTTATTTCGCGCAAGAAAGCCTGTCCATAAAGTTGATTGCAGCATGATTCTATTAGGTTTCGTCTGAAGAGTGCACCTATGTCAAACAAGAAAAATCAACAGAAAAGTGCATTAACAACGCACAAAAGAACGAAAGAAATAGGGTAAGTGGGTGTGAGTGTGTATGGGTGTGGGGTGTATGGTGTGTGGGTGTGGGTGGAGTGTGGGGGGGTGGGTGGGGGTGGGGTGGATTTGGGTGTGGGTGTGGGTGTGGGTCAGGGTTTCGATAGAAGACTTCGATCCACACCCACACCCACACCCACACCCCACACCCCACACCCACCCA